CCTCAAGCCAAATGTTTTCCATTTCTACAAATACAGCATTGGTTTTGGAGGGCCTTTGAATAACATATCCTGAGTGGATCCCTTCTCTGAGTGCTTTTATGCCCTCCTCACAAAGGCTAGTTCTTGTCCCCTCTTTCCAAATCCAGTCTGCAAGCTCTTCAGGGCCCTGCATGCCTACCTGCTTAAAGGGATGAGGAAAAGCAAGGGCAGGTTGCCTTCAGGGACTGGCAGCAGAGATGCTATAGGAGTGTAGGCCACAGTAAGTACCATGCATACCAACTTAAAATGTGGGGCATTTCACTTACATCCAGAACCTCCTTCCAAAAATGGCTTTTGGGCAAACTCTTCTTTCCAGCTTTAAAAATATAGCAGCACCATATAGCGTCAGACCACTTTGAGGACCCCAAATGCATTAACATTTGAAGGGGTGTGTATGAGAGAGAGAATGTGAAATTAATAAGGACTGTTGGGAGTTGAAGGACTTTCTCTGTCTATACATTTTTATTTCATTTCTATACTGTCCAATAGCTGAAACTCTCTGGGCAGTTTACAATATGCATATGATTGCATTCTTAATCTACCATTTTTGGACATTAAACTCAGAATCGTTATTGATCCAAATAGGGTGCAATTCTATAGATGCTGAGGCAGAAAATGCCCTACAACTTGCAGTATTCCCCAGCCAACTGTAGGGACCTTCTGTCTAAAGGTCCACAGACTTACTCATATATCCCCAATAACCTATTCTTTGTGAAAATAGACTTAGCAATACGGTCTTGGGTACTTAGGTACAATCCAATGAGACTGAACATGATTACAAAAGATTACAAGCATCTTTTGTAGGACGAGAGGAGCACAGAGGTGAAAGTCCCCTCTACACTCTTCTTTTCTGCAAAGCAGTTTGCTAATTTCAGCTGCGTAACAGCAGCACTTGGGAGTGGGAGGGAAGAAGGCTGAGATGCTGCCAAGATGCACTGCAGCTCCTGCCCTCCTCACCCCTTTGCTCCCTTCTCTGAGGTTGCTCTTACAGCCTTGGAGAAACAGCGAGCATGGTTCTTTCCACTGGGTGGGGGAAGATGCTCCAAGTACAGATCCCAAGCTCAGAACTTTTTTCCAGCCTGGGAGCTGGAATCCAAATGATCCTATGGCCTCTAGATACTAAGACACTGCTAGTGGAATTAATAAGTTGGTTGGTCTTCTGGAGGCCAGATTTGACTGCTTATGGGGAATTCCATCTTTATTTCTGCAAACCAAACTTAATATTTAAAGAGAACATATATTTTGGGGGAAGGTAGTAGAGAGAAATTGTTCCATATTAGAGTTACCAGAGATTTTACCACACCCACCCATTTACTGTTGAACACCAAACCATAAAGCTAGTATTATAGCCTCTAAGACACAATGCTCCATTGATGGAAGAATAGCTTTCAAGCCAATTAAAGATTGGCAGTCATCCTACTACTGGTAAAGTAATGCTTGTTAACAGTTCATTCTTGTGACATGGTTTTCAGCATAATCATGTATTTCTGGAAAGCCTGTTTAGTGCTTGTGAATATTTTGAAATCTCCTTTTTATAGACATTTTTAGCCTTTGCTTTCATATTGAAAGGCATTTTAAATGTTATGGGCACCCATATATTTAATACAGGGAGACAAAAATGTTATAGTGTGTAGAAATAAGCTTTGCAATTAACAAGCAGTTAATGCCTCTGTTTACATGTTAAATATCCTACAGTTTCTGAAAATACTCACAAATCTGTTTGAGTGGCTGTGTTATTAGTGGCACCTCTATCAATACTGTGGCTCTGTTGACCCCTTTGGAATATTTTTTGTAATGGCAATTTAACACAGTAGCAGGCTTTCATGACTGCTTACCTGAAACAAAAAACAGAAGGCTAGCAAAATCTTTATAATGCATTAATGCCTAGGACGCAGCACACTAACTTTTGTGCTAATTTCTCCCACATCATCTTGTTACATCAGTGCTTAAACAGATTATTGTGAGAATTTGAAATAAAATTTAATGAATTTTAATGATTTACAGTTGCAATCAACAAATGATCACAATCAGAAACTCTGGGGTTTTTTCCATGTCAAAACTTTCAAGTTTTCAAGCATGAATTTCCCAAGGCCTGACCTGAAAGAATGAAGTTCTCATTTCAACGATGCATAATTATTATTTCTTGTATTTAAGTAGAGAGATTTTCATTAGGGCAATATCCAGTACTGCCTAAGTGTCAGTAGGACCCACAGTCTAGGAATACACTGGGGACAGGAACTAGAAACTAATGGAAGCACTTTTTTCCAGGATGGGGGCAGAGCAGCTGAGCTCTGCCTATTAATTCCATTTCAAAAATAAGTGTATCCAATCAGTTCAGTGCTTGCTTTATGAACCATTTGATTCAGTGATCTAGCCAAATCAGCCCAGTAGAATGAGCTGAAGTAGTCCATTTAAAAAGCAGCAAGTTGTTAATTATTTAATGCATTATTTATTTATTTATATTTCCATTTATATGCTGCCAAATCCTTTAAAAAGTCTCTAGGTGGCTTGCAAAATCATATAAATACATTTTAAATAAAACATTTAAAATTAAATATAAACATTTAAATATTATTATCTATTTATTATTTTTTATTGCTAAGAGACCCTTGTTAGATGTTCTGCTTGAGGTATAGATTTTCCTTGTGTATGATACACTTTGCAATAGGGATGGAAGGGTTTTTTGAGATCCTATTTGCTGTTCTACTTCAGGCACTAAAAGGTCTCAGGCCAGCCCTGCAGGATTAGGATTCTGGGTTACTCTACATGAGGCCTTTAACTCACCACATTATACAGCTTTTGATTCTGGATTATTGGCAAGATTAAGATCAGCTCCTTTACGTATCCCCCCCCCACCCAGCTCCACTCCAGTATTTCCTTTCTCTGCATTTCTGTATGTTCCATTACACAACCACAAGGCAGCACTGCAGTATAGCAAAATTACAAAAAGGCACTCAGGGGCAGTACTAGGTCCTGAAAAGATCTGTGTCTGAGGTGCTTTGGAGCACAGAATGCACATCTTGGCATATGTTAATTCAACATAAAATCTCTCTTTCTCTGTATCTTTAAAGGGCCCTGTCCCCTAAGGACATCTGTATTTGTTAAAAAGGATATACGGACAGGAAAAATAATTTCAGGAAAAAATCTTCAGACAGAAAGATTGTGGGAACAGCAGGAAGTCCCCCCCCCCCCCACCTGGTACCTTTATTTCAGCAAGTTCACAGGGATAGCAGGATGGTAAGGCAGTGGCCCTTCTGGAGATTTTGGGTACAAGCCATTAACACCACCTCTGCATGAATTTTTCATTCTGGTTTATTCCACTATTTCTAAATAACATATTTTCTATTAAAAAAGCCCTGGCATTATTGGGAAGGTTCAAAATGAATGAGGTTCCACAAGCATGCAATTAATTCCTCATACAGTGAAGCCTTATATGTGTTAATATCTATTAGAAGTTGATACCTATTTTTAAAGAGTCAGCAGAGAATAATACAGCATTCCAAAGGGTGAAATATCCATATCTACACAGAGACACATCCTATTGTGAAACATCAGCTGGAGCAGTGGACAAACCAGAACACTTAAACTGTTCTGATACATTGTGTTTCACCTTGGTGGTTCTTCCAGAGAGGCAAGATTAAAATACGTATAAGTATCACTAGTAATAATATTGTCTTTCTAGTCACCATCAGAAGGATGTGGAGGTGCAAGATAGGCTTTCTCAGTGGCACTCTGAGGCTCTGGCAATCTCTTGTCAACAGAAGCTAGTTCGTTTCCTTGGTCTTTCTGCCAACAAATTAAAGACATATTTATCAGGCAAGCTTTTATCAGACCTTCTTCTCTGTTTGCCAAATCTTAAGATTTAATGCTTAATCTGGAGTTTGTTACCTGTCTTGAGTGAGGTTTTTTGGCAAAAGCTGGGATAGAAATAAAAGAAATGATAACAATAATAATGCTAGCCAGATGTGTACAATTATTGCTAGGCACATACAAAAAGTATCATCATGACTGATGATCTTATCAGTGTTTATTCAGAATTAGTGTCTTCAGAATTCAGCAGAGCTTACTCTCAAGTGAACTGTAGTTATCACTTATCCGGTCCCCTTGAAACTGAGCATTTCCATGCAGAGTGTTGGGCTGCAGGAATGTCAGAGAAAAGAATTCTAGAAGGAAATCTCATTCAGATAATCTGAGTTTTACTCTCTATTGCAACCTTTGTCAACTGGGTACCTGCCAGATGTGTTAGACCACCCTGCCTTCTGCATCTTTTGGAGTACAATTCCCCAGCTTTTTTAACCGTTGACCATACCGACTGAGACTGATGGAAACTGAAAACACAAGGAGGGCACCAGGTTGGGGAAGATTTGTGTTCGACAACTCATCATCACTCCCACATCTGGAGGGCACTCAATCCGGGAAGCCTCACAGCTTTATTACGTTTGTGTGTGTGTGTGTGTGTGTGTTTAGTGTTATATGGATACGATAGAGCGATGGTCTACAATTCTTTAAAATAAGAAAAATAAAAAGACGCCTTTTTCCGTGGAGTTGCATGCCTAACAGACATGAACTGGATTCCCAGTTTTTCTCCGTAAAAGCTGCTGCTTTACAGTTCGTAGGGATCGCCTAGGCTGCAAAAGGAAGCTGCGCCAGTTTTTTAAAAAAGCATTTTGTAGGAGCTGGTGTTTCTGCGGCTCCTCGCCCCGCCCTACGGCCTAGGACTCCACCAGCAGCAAGCAGCCAAACCTGCAGTTCAGCTGCTGCGCGGACCCCGCCGGGGCAGTCCCTTAACCATACAAGAATGCTTCTCGCGCTGCCTATCCAGGGCTTTGAGGGTGTAGCCGTGGCAGGTCAGCGGCAGGGGAGCGTCGGCTTTGATTGGTGCTCGGCTGGCTATGGAGGCTGCGATTGGCCGATTTGGCCGCCAGTCCCCTTCCCCGCCCCTTTCCGCACTTCTGCCGTCGCAAGTACAGCGAAGCGGAGAGAGCCGGAGGAGGTGGCGTCCAGCGGGCGTTGTGAAGGGGAGGCGGGGAAGCAGCATGGCAGCGGCGTCAATGCTCCGGGTCTCCGTCAGCTTGCTGCACAGGCAAAGGACAGCCTATGCGGACTGCATCGCAATGGGTAAGCAGAGCCGGGCTGGGATAGCTGTGCTGGATGGGGCTTGCCAAACGGCACACGTGGCGATGAGTGCGGAGCTTGGGCCTTCCTGTGAAGCCCTGAGAGCGAGCATTGCTGGCACAGGCAAGGGGTCAGGGGAGTGAGGCGGCCCTCGCCCAAGTCTGAAAACGGTGACAGCTGTCTAGGCAGGCAGGGGATAGGTGGACCTGAAATACGGAAAAAGACAGGAAAGAAAAATAAGAAAAAAATCCTCCCTGCCTTAATGATCACATCAGGATGTTTGATGAGGGGTGTGTGCCTTTTTTCATGCTTTGAACTTCTCACCCGAATTAAGCATTAGGCAGAAATGGTCTTGAGAGTGCAGTGGCTTCATGAAAGGAAAAGGTTATGACTTCTATTTTGCACTCTTTACAAGTATTGTACAAGCTATTAAAAACCACACGTGTTGTAAAATTATATTGGACTAATATCAGAACATTTGTCCGCTTAAGAGAAGGCTCATACCATAAATACTTTAACATGTTTACTTAAAATAACACATGTGGGTGTTAAAACAGGCCACAAAAGTTTATGTGACGCTAGTGACCTGAAGTATCAAGTTAACTGCAACTATGATCTATGCTCATTTTTGCTTTCTCTATAACACTGGTGTTTTGCTTGCAGAAACTTAGAATGTAATTCATTACTGTGATCCTGTGTATTTTTATGTATGTAATACTTTGTGCAGGTGTTTTTTGCCATGCACATTAGCCATTTGTGAAACGTGAGCACAGCTTTTTGGATTTGCACAATTAAATAGTGTGACAGCACAATCCTTTACATATCTACTAAGAAACAGTTCTCATGGAGTTTAATGGAACTTAGACCTAGGTAAGTTTTGTAAGATTGAAATCTCTTGTATCTGTTTATTCAAAAGTAAGTCCCACTGTGTTCAGTAAAACATACTACTGGGTAAGTATGAATATGACTGCAGTTTCACAGTGCAATTCTATGTTGGTTTACTCAGAAGTAAGCCCCATTAGGTTCAGTAGGGTTTATTCACAGGTAAGTGTACTTAAGGCTGCTGTCATAAGGAGCAATCTGGTGCATGTTAAGACAGAAAAAAGTCCAACTCTCAGCATACCCCAGTAGTTAACTTAAAGAAAATGTCAAGTATCTACTAATCTGTTCTTAACCAATTCTCACTGTGTATATTTTTCCAATCTCTTTGATAAGAAGCTTTGTGCACTCAATTTCTGATACAGTCTTGCACCAGCCAAAGTTGTTTCACCTGTTTTATAGGGGAGCATGCTGTTAACATTCAGCATTCTACAGTTATTAGTGATAACCTTCCAAGTGATTTAAATCCCTTTAGAACCTTTAAAGGGAGTAAAAATTAGCCACATACTAGTAAATTTCAGTAAAGTAAATCAGTTCCCAGTAGAACTTCTATAGAATGATGATCATTACCTTTGAGTGTAAAGCTCTCAATTCAGATGTCATCTCCACTGTGAATGCATATGCTGGCTTGGGTCATACATCTAACCCCCACCCCCAACACATGCTGCAAAATTCTCCCCTCCTAGGCTAAGGGAAGAATTTAAATGGGGTTTGAAGGGTTGGCAATATGTATCAAGTAGTTGTTGTCAGATTAGCACAACATTGTTTTATTTCCAATCACCACTTTTAATACAGTACATATCCGGGAAAGAAAAAACATGATCTTTGCTCAGTTATTGGTTTGTTCAGTGTGCAATGCAAAGTTCTTCCATTTCATATCATTTTCTATTAAAAAGCAATCCTAAAAAAACTTGCTAGTAAATAGGGTCCATTGAACATAGTTGGGCTTACTTCTGAGTAAAGTAGAACAAGGTTGTTCTGTACCCTATGGGCTATGACATTAATTAATGATATTTCCAAATCAGTTATATAGAATTTAAAAGTGATGGCCAGATTACCTTCCTGGGAATGCCTGTTGGAAAAGGTATATTTTTAGTAGCCTCCAAGGGTTGGTGCTTGCCTAATTTGTAATAGTAGTGTGTTTCAGAGAGTAGGGATTGTGACATCAGAGGGTGAGCCTTGATATTGGGTACCACCAGAAGGTAATCTTGGGATGAGCATGGCAGTGGAGAAGGCAAGTACGTTTTCAAGCATGTGCAAGTATTCTGGTAGTCCTGACATTTGTGTAAATAGTTCTTTATCTCTAAAATTTAACTGCTGTGGATTGCAGGCCATTTTATGACCAGCAGATATGAGTCTATGAATAATATTGCAATACATATGTAGACCATCCCATGATTCCTACTTTTTGCAAAAACATGCTTTTCACTTAAAGGTACCAAAGCCAATCTGAGTGTCCTTGAGTGAGATTCCTATCTGAAGTCCTAGACAGCTGGTCCCAGCCAGTGGAAAGTAGGTAGTGCTGAGCTAGATGGACCAAAGAAACTGACTCTGCACATGATATTTCCCATGTTCTTGTGTTTTTAATTCAGAAAGCAGTCCTGTGGCTCATAGGCATCATTCATAGGGTACTTTGAATTCCCAGATAAGAAGTTGGATACAGGGCTCTGACCTTGGAGCTGAGTATCTTCACTCCCACCCACACACGTACAGCTGGAATGGAAACAAGTTGGGAACTCAGCTTTAGAGAGTGGATGATTATTAGATTGTTTGACTGGGGATCTAGAAGATCCAAAGTTCTAGTCCCCATGAAGCTCTCTAGGTAACTCTGGGCTAGTTATTCCCTCTCAGCCTAACTCACCTTGCATGGTGGTTGTTGTGAGGATAAAATGGAGTGGAGGAGGACTAGGTAAGCCACTTTGAGTAAGTTAATTTATAAATGCAATGAAAAAAATGGTAGGCAGGGAGTAGGAGGAGACTGCAGAAGCGAGAGTATGAGCTATCCAGAATCCTGTACTGCTTTCTTCCCTCCCTCACTTAAATGTGTCTGCTACATAGCCAAAAACAGTCGTCTAGCTACACTGTGGTTCAGGAAGGTGGAAATTGCCTCTGTCTCTCTTCCCATTCTATGTACATAGCGTAGATAGAATAGAAAGATTATAGTATAGAAAACATGTTACACCCTTGTGATCATACCCCTCTTGGAATTAGGATACCCTTTATTACCTGTGTTCAAGCTATAACTGCTGTTGCTTATGTAGATAAAAATGGAAAACTGACATACAAAATTTATTATTATTAATATTTATATACTGCCTGTTTTCCTTTAAAGGAACTCAAGGCGGTTTACATATTTTTCCTTCTCCTTTTGATCTTATCCTCACAACAACAACAACAACAACAACAACAACCCTGTGAGGAGGCGAGGCTTGGCTTGGCTGTTGGAATGCTGACTGAGTGTTAGTGAGGTGGGATAGAAGCAGGTGGGTGAAAAGCGGCACCATTCTGTGCAGAATTTTGTTCAGGGTCCCGATTGTGTTGTCCTGGAAACATTCATAATGATTGCTGAGTATGACTAAATATTTTTCCAATATTTTTTCAGTAGCAATGTTTAACTAGTAAAATTATACTACCTTTTCATTCAGTAGAAGGCCCCACCATAAAACAATAAAATGCCATAATACCAATACCGGTCCTGGGTTATGAACATCCGGCTTACCAACAACCTGTACTTAGGAACATGCAAACTACACTAAACCCCATATGAATATCTCTAGCAAAAAGCAATGACTGTCTCTAGGGAACTATCTGACATGTTTGGTGACACATCCACAGCGACCATGTAGTTCCCTAAAGATAAGGAACTAAAGATTCCCTAAATATTCACAGCATTTTGGTCCATGGCGTCAGCTTGAGTGTACCCCAGCCGGTGTGTTTTGTGGCACGTGTAGGGCATGTAGTTCCCCTTTGGTGTTTCTTTAGCATCATTGTCCTTGTAACCATCCTATGCAAGGGCAGGTGATGCATCAAATAAAAGGAAAACAATCATGATGGAGACTAAAGTGGAAATAATAAAGTGATCAGGAAAGGTGAGGCATTGGTCCTGTGAGTTTCCTGGATTTAAAACAAAAGCAAAAGGGTTTTATATGCCACATTTTTGTTACTTGAACCTCAGACCTTGGAGGCTGCATACACAGTTCTGGTCACTGGGTTGAGACCATGCACACAGTGCTGAATAGATAGTGGCAGCTGGTGGCAGCTTTGATAGCAGTGCACATCTGTTGGGTAGGTGTCCATTTGCATAATCTGCTGCTTGCATGCACAGATCTCTTCCGTAGAAACTGTGGAATCCTTTTGATTTCTTGTAATCAGTTCTCTCCAATCTGCTTGCTTCAAGTTACATATGTTTTTGTTGTGATAAGAATAGTTAAATTAACAATGTCATTTGGAATGCACAGGTGAATAAAATTGGCTTAACTTCATCTTTATGAGATCTTTTGCTAATTGTGTTTAAACCCAAAAAAGAATCATACATTTGGAAGAGGTCTAGAAGGCCATCAGGTCCAACCCCCTGCTCAATGTAGAACTGAAGTCTCCCATCCAGATTCTAACCAGACCTGACCCTACTTAGCTTTCAAGATTAGGCAAGAACAGGCATTTCAGACTACAGGAAAGACATGTAGCCACCTTGAATTCCACAAGGGGAAAAAGGTGGGATATGAAACAAACAAACAAAATAACATATTGCTAACATCCTACTGATTCGAATCTGCACAATGGAGTGAGTTCCCATTGCTCCGTCCCAGCTCCTGCCAACCTTGCAGTTCGAAAGCATGCAAATGCAAGTAGATAAAAAGGTACCACTTCGGTGGGCAGGTAACAGTGTTCCGGGCACTTCGGTGTTTAGTCATGCCGGCCACATGACCATGGGGACTGTCTGCGGACAAACGCTGGCTCCCTCGGCTAGGAAACAGAGATGAGCACCACCCCCTAGAGTCAGGCATGACTGGACGTAATGTCAAGGGGAAACCTTTAACCTTTTTTACTGGTTTATTACTCCATTAGATGTCCTTAGATATGCTATTGAACTGAAGTAGTTTGACTGATTTCTTCTCTTTTATAAGCTTCCTCTTTATTATGCATGATTCCTAATGTGAGTCAACTGTATCAAGTTGTTTTGGCTCTTTAAAATAAATGTTTCGTGCAAGTGGCAACAAAACCAAGAACAGATGTTATTTGGATTCTGAACTAAGATTGTATTGATTTAGAAAAGGAAATAATTGCTCTGGTTGATCCTGTTGTCTAGCATGCTGTATTCCAGGGATGTGGAGTATGTGGGTCTGCCTGGCTAGCTAATGGGAGGGGGGGTGTGCTGGGAATTGCAGTCCAACAGCATTTGAAAGGTTGCTTTTTCCGTATCCTTGCTCTTTTCACATATATGGCATTTCTTTGCTGTTTTGGGGGCAGGGCGGGATGTTGAGTGCCACTTTCTGCCTAGCCATTCTACTGGGGCTTCAAACCTGAGTTGGGCAGGGCCAGGCCAGAGCTGATGGTGGGTTGGGTAAAAGTCAAACATGGACATCGTTTATTTATTTATTTATTTTCTGCCATGCCTTTACTTTCTCCTTGGAAAAGATCCTGTTCCCATGAATAGGAGGGGGGGGGCGTGTTTTTTGGTAAATTGTTCACAGAATCAGCTGAGGTGGGAACACCATAGTCTGGATCCATACGTGCTGTGGACTGCATCCAGCCTGTAGGCCAGTGGTCCCCCACCCCAACCCTGTTGTTACTGCTTAAATTACTGCTTTTCATTGTGTTCTTGGGAGTTGAGTGCCTATTTCATTTTAGTGGACCTTGAGTGAACTTTGTTTTTAACTGAATTCATTTGTTGTACATAACAAAATGAAGTTCTAGAGAGACGCTGAATTACAGTTTTTTGTCAGCTACATTCAAGTGTTTCTAGTCTAATCCACATGGATACTCTTCTAATACAAGAAGAAATTTTCTAGTTTGCCAGTTGAAAAGATTAGAAAATACTAGTGTGAATGTTTCTCCATTATGCCTTTAAAAATTAATCTTTGGTGCATATAGGCGAGTTGTTATACAATAGCGATTTGCACTTGTCTAAGCTTCTGGTGGACAGCTGTTTGTATCTTAAATTTCAGCTGATGCCAACTAGCTGAATTGGTAAGCAAAGGAAAGAAACAATTATGTGTGGAATTTGAGCAATCTTTCTTAATAGTAAGGGTTGAACACATTCTCTTTGTTGTGTAACCTTAGGAAAATTAGTAATCAAGTAGAATTGAAGGAAAGGAAATCCAAAATATACAGAACTCCAAAACTCAAGGAGGAACTCCCTTCTTTAATTGCAATACACACATGCACGCACAAACCAAAGCATGGTACACCTTTAGCATTTCCATTAACTTTATTTTCTAAGGCTTATAATGATACAGCCCTAATTTGTAGCATACTTGTTTTCATTGGCTTTGATTGGTTTGTGTAAAATCCCTTTCCTTCACTCTCTTCCTCTTGAAGAACTGGATTTCATTGTGTGATTTGGCAGCTTTTTTGTACATTGGTCTGCAAAACTTGCAAACTGCTATAATAAAAAACCAGTTTTAGGCAAATAAATATTGTGGAGTTCTAATAAATCTTAATACTATCGGTTTTTTTCCTCCCATCTTTTAAAATAAAGTGCTGTTGTTGTTTAAAAAAACTTCCTTAGAGCCCTTAAAGATGAAAATTTTGATAAGGGTGCATCCAATGCTGTATCCGCATGCAAATGCTTGCAGGAGAGGAATTGCTTCTTGTCGCTGCTGCTTTCCTGAAAGCTTTTTCCAAGGATCAGGGAATCATCAGGAAAGGCAGGAGATGTGGGACAGGAATACTGCAGTTGGAGGAGAATTGGACAGAAAGAATCTGAACAAGCAGAGTATCCCATGCAATTTAATAGTTCCTTCTCCTCCCAACCTAAAAGCCGTCTCGTAACTTTATAAAGCAGTCATTTGGATTTTGGTGAGCTCTGATATTCCAACTATTGTGTCAGACTGTGATCAATAAATGGCTGTTCCCTTTTGTTTGTAAAACTAACTGCTGTTGTCACTCATCTGTTCTGCACTTGAGCAAGAGATTTAACCTTTTAAAGTTTTACATTTTTATTTAATTTTTAAGTGAAGATTACAGTGATTTTATTTTGGAATGGTTATGAACAGCTTTCAGGAAACAGAACATATTGGTGGAAAGGAGTAAATACTTTAAATATTAAAGCTTTGAACACTGTTACTTAGCCAAAACTTGAAATATACTCTTCTTTATAATTTGTTTTAGAAATGTATTTCAGTAGAATATTCTAATAATGACTTTTTATTTGCAATTAGTGTCTTCTAGAGCAATGGCTTCCAAAACTTCTGTCGGATTCATTGGTTTGGGTAACATGGGAAATCCAATGGCGAAAAACCTTGTAAAACATGGCTATCCTGTTATCGCGTATGATGTATTTCCAGAAGCATGTAAAGAATTTCAAGAACTGGGTGCACAGGTATAGTAGTCAACATATTGTTAACCTTTTTTGTATTTTATGACCAAACCACTATCACCACCAATCTCCATGATTTGTATATGACTGGGGCATGCATAGCTTTGAGCAGGTTGATCTGGCACAGTCACAATGTGTAATTTGCTTGATATTTGTCTGTCACTGGGATTCCAAGATGGCGTCGGAACGAGACGGATGTGATTAACGGAGTTCGTTTTTCACGCCGGTATTACTTGGCAGCGAGTCGTGGGAGACTCATCTAAGCCCTGTCGGGGTGAAGACAGATTGCCTGGGCACGCTTTTGGCTTGATGTGAGATGGCAGTCTCATACCTGCTGAGAGCAATTCAGGTACTTCTCAACCGAGTAACGCAGGGGGTGGTTTCAGCCCCTTCAAGTTCTCGACATCTTAGAAGATTAGCTTTGGATTTTTATTAGCTAGGTAAGCATTGGAACTGCTGAGTAAATATTTTTTACTTCTTTTGCAATATTACCTGTGGAAAAGCTGCATTTGTTTATAATTTGGCATTAAGAAAAACCCTCCAGATGTTTAGGCGGCGACTGAGATGAGAGAGTACTGATGCTTTTGTCCAAGTTGAAGCCGAAGAAAAAGACTTTTTCCTCTAACCTCTCTAAGGGTATAAAATTAGTTTAAATTTTTAAGGTGCAATTACGTGATAGGAGTTCAAAGCTTTGACTGATCATTTTGGATATCTGTTTGGACTTCTGCCAAGATCAACTGGACACTCGCCAGGTTATTTTTCACATTGTCAGATGCTTTCTTCTTTAATGTGACTACTTCTTTAATGTGTTTGGGTGAGCATTCCTATTTTCGTTTTGCAGTACTACTTGTGGAAAAACTGTATCTGTTGTTAATTGGCATAAAAAAAAGAAAAGGGAGAAAAGAGGAAGGATATAAGAATCTCCATTTCCTCTCCTGCGTTTCTGGGACCTCTGCCAAAGTATTTGGCAACTTGCCAACCTTCTGACCGCTAGTGATCTAGAGAAAAGAAAAGTGGAACTGATCTTGGCTGCCATTTTGTGACTATTGGGATTATTGCAACGATGGTAGAACTGAAGAGATTTTTTTTGGAAATACAAGAATCTTTAACAACTTTACAAATATCCCAAGAGGTGATGTTGAGACAACAGGAAATCTTCTCAATTGTACAAAAAAAGCGCTTTGATAAGCTTGATGCTTCTTTTAAGGAGATGGTGATTGATGTAGAATCCAAAACTGAACAGAATATACAAGAAAGGCAACAAGTATAAGAAAAATTTGAAAAATTTGAAACTGTGGATAAAAAGAAACAAATTTGGCCACTAAAGGAAGGAATTTTTTTTTGAAGGATGGATGGATCCTGAATTAACTAAAATTGATTCTGAGGAAGAAGAAACAGTGAAGGTTGATTTGCAGCAAAAAACACAGCCATTGGGAATAAATACTGACCTACAACAAATGCTACAATCACTGAAGATAAAGCAAGAAATAGTGAAGAGTGAAATACAGACTTCGAACTGGGTTGATTTTCAACAAATAACACCAAGGGGAGAAAGATGGGCTGGAGACGTAAAGTTTAAAAATACTGATTTTCAACAAACCCTATTAAAACAAAAGCTGTTTGGAAGAGGTGTAAAAAAGAAATCTTAAAAAGGAATGGTATAAATGGGTTGGCATGTTTATTGTGGTATGGAAAGGCTAAGGTATATGATTTTAACTGTGGAAGCTTTTCTACATTTAAATGTGTTGAATTATGAAGAGATTATAAGATAAGATTTAAACTGAACTAAGAAGGAGAAGAATAGGAGTGGAGTACCCCGCCCCCTTATATTTTTTCTCTCCTTTGTGGGTGATATAAGGGAAAATGAGAGATTCTTTTCTTTTTCTTTCTTTTTTTATCTTAAAAATGAATGACCAAAAGCTAACTTGCATGACTCTTTTGTCTTTGAATTGCTGTACTAGAAAATGACTATTATGGGAGTAGGAGGAGCTGTACTAAATAGATTTCTTTTTATAAGCGAGATATATTAAAGATTGTAAGGAGCTGGACTCTTATAAGGAGTTAATTGTATGTGGTTAAGTGAAGTGTAAGCTAGATGAAACTTTAACAAATTAGCTTAAAAAATTGTTTAAAAGGTATCATAGATAATTGTTGTCGTTAAATAGATAAGATGTCCTTAAAGAGGCTAAATGGATGTTAGACCTGGGAACATAAACTGGGTTAAAAGTCTTTAGTTCTTTTTTAAGCTTGGAACTTTTCTTCTCTTTCACTTTCCTTTTTAGTGGATATTAGACTGAAATACTAGTAAGCAAAAATGTATTTGATCGTATTCGTAACTATTATAATGAGGAGTTTATCTGTTTAATATTAAAAAAATGAAAAGATCTGGAATTGTGTAGAGTTGGTTAGATTGAAGCTACTATCGAAGAAGAAAGAAGATAATGACTGTCATCAAATTTGGAGAGTCTTTCTTTTAATATTGGTCAAGGAGAACGGGACTCTGTAAGAAATGGATGGACTGATCTTACCGCAGAAGGAGAAAGAAGATAGTGACTTCTATCAAATTTGGAACCTTTTTTTTTTTTTTTAATTGGCTGGAGAAACGGGACTTGGTTTAGATCTAAAAATGTTTTTTAAGATTCCATAAATGGATCTGAATATGATTACAGAATGTTAAAAGATATGTAGTAAGGGGCTGACTCAGTAGTTCCGACGTTTGTGATGACTGATGTTTTTAGTACTGTTTTAAAATTTAATAAAAAAGTACTGCCAAAAAAAAAAAAAAGATATTTGTCTGTCACTGGCTAGCTGGTAGTTCTGTTGCATTGTGTATGGACTGTATCCAGTAAGGGATTCTGTCATGGCAGGTCACTTTGCCTAATTTCCTGCACAGGCACCACAGATCACTCCATTCAGCACAGTCTCCTGAATCTCTGAGCAGCATTTTCAGAGGGCAGGTCTACCATAGGAAGAAGAAGTGAGGGGAGTCAACTTCCATCAGTGTCATTGATTCAGCATAAATCTGTATCCAGCCCATTGACTGTGTCCTGATTTAAATGTCATGGGAAACCATTATTAATTAAAAGAGAAAACCGTTTTTCATTTGCGTATCCCTTGGCAGCCCATTCCAATAAATTGTACATTTCATATTAGCAAAATGTTTGTAATATACTTGCAGTTATTTCCACCATTATTTTCTTTTTTTCCACAACCCCCTAAATGTTCTGGTTCATACTCCGGGGGCTACGTGTACCCTAGGTAGGGAATCACCAGGACAACTCCATGGCTTGATATCTCAGTTTTTTTTTCTCAAACCTGAATGTCATGTACCTGTGCTTAGTTCAGAATAAAATGTTCAGTCTCCTTATACATGCAGGTGAGCAGAGTGGAGTTAAGAGGGTACCTGCTGACTTGTTCCCTTAGTGGCGAAAAATGGTTTTCGGATCAAGTCTTTCTCCTAAGATGCCATGATGCAGGATCAATAATACACTTACTTTTCACTACTTTATTCCTTTTGGTTACTGGCATTAATCCGTTTAGAAGTGCTTTTCCTTTTTGCTAGTTCCCAGTCCTCTTCTTTCCCTTCTAGTTCCATTTTTCTAATGAGCAAACAGCTAGCAACTTAAGCATAGGAATTAACATGTAAGTTTACTGTGCTCATGTATCTTTCCAGCAGGAATGCATGAGCAGCCCTTGGTTTGCCCCACCTGGGGAATGGCCTTATGTGAATTCCAGCTACTGTCGCCAGCTCCCCTCAGAGGGGACAGTGCACAGAGCTCCTCCAGGGGTGGTGGGCGGGGGAAGTGACCCTGGGAACACATGCAGCCACCAGTGCTTCCCCTTTCTCCAGCTAGGTAAGTATGGTGGACCCGTGGGGAAGTGGAGGCAGAGGGAGTGGCTGCAGGCATATGAAGTACAAGTCAAGCAGAGCTCTATTTGATGTGGGCCTCCTTAGTGGAACTGAATGGACTGCTTGTTCTTACCTGCTCCCTTATTCTATAGCTTTTGACTTCCTAATCATGTTACAAGTTGCTTTAAAGATCACTCTTTTTTTGCTGGCTGTGTGACACAGAACTAAAAGACCACAAGCTTGGTGAGAGGAATTCTGTCCAAACCCACAGTGGAAAAAATATGCCTTTTTAATTTAAGCTTAGTTTTTGGTAAGGCATGAGAGAATTCATCTTTTCTGGGGAAGCCTTTCATCTGTGTTGTTGAATCCATGTCAGAGCTGCTCTGTCAGGTGTACTTTGTATAAATCTTCAGTATAACTATGCAGCTGTATTTCTGCTTCACAAGAAATCTTTTTGTTTTTCTGAACCACTAGTTTTCTATTTGAAGTCAGTGTATGCATTAATTGGGTTGTCTTAGATCCCAGTTATTTTGTTCTGCCCTGATAAGTGACTTCAATTTAAACAAATAATATGCTTTAATCTCTCTCTCTCTCTCTCTCTCTCTCTCTCTCTCTCTCTCTCTCTCTCTATATATATATATATATATATATATATAGAAAGTTCAGTTAGCTAAAGGCTCAATCCTATGTATTTTCAGGCAGAAAAAAAGGCCTACAGTTCCCTGCATGCCTCAACCAGCATGGCAGACTAGAGGGATGCTGGGAATTGTAGGACTTTATTCCGTCTAAATATGCATAAGATAATTGCCTTAAGGTGCTATCTTATACCTACTTATCTGGGAATAAGCTGCATTGAGCTAAGTGGGACTTAACTCTCAGTAGACCTCTGAAGGATTGCAGTATAAATATTATAAAATCATAAGTAGTTAGGACTAACTTAAGTCTGATTGATTTCAATGAGAGCTTGATTCTTGGAACTGGCATCTTCTTGTTAGCAAAAACTAGTTTTTATCTCTCTCCAACTTTCAATGCAGCAAGAAGATACTGCAAGATTTCACAGCTGATTTTTGTGGCTCAGCAACGTGTATAGTTTCTGTTTGCATTTTCATTACTACTGAGGTGCTTTAGAACTTACTCAAAATGTTGAATGGTAAAACATGAAAGGATAATTTCTGTTTCATTAAGCAACAGCTTGCTGACCTCTCCCTGCTCCCTTTCCTTTAAAAGGTAACAGATTCCCCAGCAGATGTAGCAGAAAGAGCTGACAGGATTATTACAATGCTTCCGTCTAATCCTAACGCAATAGAAGTTTACACAGGCACCAATGGAATTCTCAAGTAAGTTTTTTCTCTCTTTTCATTTAGCATCATAATAAAATCAAGCATTGTGCATTACATTCTGTCTTAAGTGTCATTTACATTCATTTTCTACTTGCCTGTTGAATTAATGTTTTTTAAATAAATGCTGCAGCTCAGCAGTCTGTGTGTGCAAACAATTCCCTGCTGTGCCTGGGACAGCAAACTGCATCCAGCAATGGATGAGTTATGCATGAGGTTTATTCCACACAATAATCTGTGCTGAAACTTGTGCACTAATCTCTGTAGGTGTGTGAACACAACATTTTTCTGCTCTCACAGTTTTCCAGAATAAATTAATAGTCTAGAAGTCCATTATCCCAACTTCATTTTTTAATTGAAATACAAAGGGTAAATCACCAGTAATCATTTTAAAAAGCTTAGCAAGGCAATAATATTTATAAAATGTGTTCCTTTATACAAGGGTGGGGGACCTCTTTTAGTCTGGAAATCAAATTCCCTTTTATAAAAGCTGTTGGAAGCAGCTTCCCAAAGGTGGGTGAGACTGAAGGCCAAAGCAGTGTGGCCCAAGATCCATGTAAACAATACATATCATGGCTTAAAGCTCTCATCATTATTTAGCCCTTAGGAGAGGCATTTTGAATGCTTAAACTGCAGTGGAAAAAACTAGAGAAAACTGGGAAATAACAAATGATTGGTTGGGGGAAATGGGTGAGTCCAGGGAAATTGGTGTGGACATTTGAGGAACTGTGGGGAAGTTAGATTTGGCCCCATGTCTGCAGTTACCCAGCGATGCTTTATCCTATTACCACTGCCATGAATTTATGGACACTGCAGGCCATTATCAAATATCTCATTCATAATGCCTGAGTTGGTGCCCTGCATGATGCTTTTTAAAATTGTATTGCAGAAGCCTCAAGCTGTTGCCATTGTTGGCAGCCCAAAAGACTGTGCCTAATTGCCTTTGTGTTTTACCCAAATGTATATCTGTGTTTTTTGCCTTTATTTTTTTCTTCAGGAAAGTGAAGAAAGGTTCTTTGTTAATAGATTCCAGTACTATTGATCCTGTAGTTTCAAAAGAACTTGCTAAAGAAGCTGAAAAAATGGGAGCTGTTTTTATGGATGCTCCTGTTTCTGGTGGTAAGTCTCCCCCCCCCACCCCATATGTGCATGTTTTCCCAGATAGTTACGCAGAACCATCTTGATGTTATTTCTTCCTATCTGCCAAGGGAGGCAGTTATGGAACATGACTTTGATAATCTCACATGGGGATGGACAAAGCTGTTAATTTATAGTTTCTTTCAGTTTCTCCTTTTTCCAAACTTAAGTTTGTCCTGCCCTGTTTCTGTATCAGTTTGTGAAGGTTTCTTTTAGAAGTCCGCATGAAAGTTTGTAGGCATTTTTGTGCATGCTTTCGTATACTTATTAGACAACTGAACCCCAAAGTTCAGAGAACTGTGAATACCAAATGATAATAATACTTCAGTTAATAAGTGCTAATTAATTGGGTTTGCTGTAATATTGTACCAGACTAATTTGTACCAAACTAATTTTTCCTCCCCACCCTCCCCCAGCAGCCCAAGTTGGAGCACTAAAAAGTGCTGCATACATACTCCACTGTTAAGGTTCCTATCCCGTCTGTTCAGTATGTATTTCTTGTGAAAACACTGACTTTACACAACTTGACCTTTACAATGATTAAAATCAACATTAGACGGCAAAATATGGGCAAGGGGCAGTGAGGGCATGGAGCAACTTTGTACTTGATCGTTCTTTTTTTCTTGGCTGAATACATTGACCAAAGTAGGACTAACACTGGACTAAGGGAATAGATTAATGCCTCTTGGTTGAGCTGTTCCTTTTTGCTTAAAAGAGACTGAAATAAGACCTTGACCAAAGAAGCATTCTCATGATCCAGGATGTCTGTGTATTTATCGGCCAGTCTCAGATTCTTGGCTAAGGTGATTCAAAGGGTGGCGGTATTGCAACTGCAGATGTATCTGATTCTCTGGATCCATTTTATTCTGGCTTTCAGCCAGGATATGTGACTGAGATTTCTTTGGTCACCTTAGTAAATAGCCTGTGCTGGGAACTGGATACAAGGAGCACAACTCTGTTAGTTCTCTTGGATCTCTTAGCAGCTTACAATACCGTTAAGAGGAATATCTTTTTGGACAGCCTGACAGGATTGGGTTTAGAGGTGCTGTTTTGCAGTGGTTCTAGTCCTTCTTGTTGGATCATGTCCAGAAGGTGGTACTGGGGGGTTACTATTCGACTCCACAGCTCTTGGCCTATGGTTTTGCACAACTATCCTATTTAGTATTTGCATAAAAATCCCAGGAGAGGTCATTCTGAGTTTAGGAGTAAGGTGCCACCAGTTTGCCAGTAACAACCAGCTCTAATGCCTTTGTTACCTAATGCTGAGGAAGTCTTGAAAACCCTTGAGCTGGATTTGGTAATGCTCTGATTCCAAGTGATCAAGCTGTGGTTAAACTTAGACAAGATGGAAGTGTGGTTGGGTCAGTAGAAAGCCTGACTTTGGGATTGGGTTCAGTGGGTTCTGGAAGGGTTGTCCTCCCCATGAAATATCAAGTCCATAGTATGGGAATGTATCTTGATCCTGTGCATTCTGTGGAACTTTAGGTTGTGGCGAGGAATGTACTTCTACAATTACACCAGCTGCAACCTTTCTTGAACTGTTCTGACTTGCCAACAATCTTAAATTGTTCCATGCTACCTTGATGCCTTTTCAGTAGATAAACCAGTATACAAATGCAAATAAATAAATATGCATCTGAACCTCTTTATATAGCAGGAACACAATCCAGCATTGATTTAGTTCTCAGTGATTTCATTGAGACATAAAGTTTTGTTTTTTTGTGGGATGATCAAACCATAGTATGATCAAACAAAATATATTGCTTTAAATCATTGCATCTTAAGGTAAAAGATTTTAATCCCAGTGTTGCATTTCCCTAGTGAATCCACTTGATGAATCTTGATGACCATTTGTTGAGAAAAGGTTGAAGAGGTTTATGTAACAGATACATAAACATGGGAAGATGTTGCAATTCCCTTTTCTACTTCAGTGATTACTTTTTTATTTTGGCTGGAAAATACATCGCTAAAGCTATTCTCATGATTAATATGCATGAACCAAATAATGAATATCTGATTATGTTTCATGATTGTTTTAGCAAATTGGTTGGCATTCCCTATGGTCACTTGATTGTGGTGATGGGAAAGGGAATTCAGTGAGATCTTAGATGCTATTTTGGATTTGGAGTACACTGTTCCTGAAATGGCAAATAACAGTTAGACTTATATGTTAGTCTTACATGTTTCAGTTTGGTGTGGTTGATATGTAGATTTAGCATCCTGGTGACTGTGACTATATATTTATTACAGTCTGTCAGAATTGCTTTTGATTGGATTATTCTTATCTTTGCATTTCTTATCTCTGCATTGATAAGTTAAATTAAAGCTTGCAAGACTATTTAAAAATAACACTGGTAAATTCATACCATTCCTCAAGCTTCCTGGAATTTTAATTTTCACTTTTACCTTGACCTCTGGCTCTTTGGCACTTTAATGGTTCACTTCTTCATGATGAGGTCTTTAAAAATCAGATTTTTGCTGAGCTTTGCAAGTATTTTAAGAATAATGAGAATGCTGTTGATTTTTGTGCCATTGAGTTGGAAGTCGGGAAAGGCCAAATTACTACTTATATATGAAGAATGTTTTTAAAATGCTACCAATATTACTAAATGAGGAACTGAAAATGCTTATAAGCCAGTTTGCAGTTTCCTCATTTGTAGAAATCTATCATGATTTACCGAATGTTAAATCCATGTGGAATATTATTCTTTAACAGCAATAATAAATTGTTTTAACCTGCTTACAGTAGACTTATTGGAGAACAGGAAGATCCAAGTAAGATTTTAGCAAACCTCCTTAAACAGTAGGAACAAGAAACCAAAGGTCAAAAATGGGGACAATACAACAAATGAGAAGGATCTTGGGGATGTTGTAAGTCACAAGCTAAATGTGAGCCAGCAATGTGATGCAGCTGCACAAAGGGCAGATGCTATTTTGGGCTGCATTAAAATAAGTATCACTTCCAAAACACATGAAGTACTAGTTCTCCTATACTCAACACTAGTCAGATCTCACCTAGAGAATTGTGCCCAGTTCTGGCACCTAAATTTTAAAAAGAAGCTGATAAGCTAGAAAGGATACAGAGAAAAGCAACAAAGATGATTCCAGGACTGGAGATAGAACGCTGTGAGCAAAAATGGAGAGAACTAGGCATGTTTGGCCTCGAGACAAAGGGAGAAATGCTAGCACTCTTACAAGTACCTGGAAGCTGTCACAGAGGAAGGACAAGATCTCTCCTCATTCATTCCAGAGTGCAGGGCACAGAATAATTGGTTTAAGTTAAAAGGAACCAGATTTAGACTAGACACCAGGAAGAATTTCCTCACTGTCAGAGCAGTATGGCAATGGAACCTATTACCTGGGGAAGTTGTGGAAACTCCCTCACTCGCGACATTCAGAAAGCATCTGGACAGTCATCTGAGTGGGATTAGTGTCCTGCAGTAAATACTTAAACTGAATTTGAATGAGCTAATTCATGAGATATCACTGGACAGAGACAGGTAGACATCTTTAAAGTTGAGATTATAGGACCCAGTGAAGATGGGTATCAAACCTAGGATTTATTTGTTATGTGAGATTTCTCTCTCTCTCTCTCTCTCTCTCTCTCTCTCTATACATACATACATACATACATATAGCAATTTTTTCAAAAATGTAACTCCTCGTTTTAATCATTTTTCTAGTTTTATTTTCTGCCATGAACATCTTTGAAAAGGATTGAATATTTTATTTTTATTTTCAATTTATATCCTGCCTTTTTCCTGCAAAGGGCTCAAGGCAGCTTACATCTCCTCCTCCCTCTTATCCCCACAACAACAACCCTGTGAGGTAGGTTGGGCTGAGAGTCTGTGACTGGCCCAAAGTCACCCAGTTGGCTCCATGGCTGAGTGGGACTAGAACCCAGCTCATCTGAGTCCCAGTCCCATGCTCTTAACCAGTACGCATCAAATTGGCTTTCCAGATCCAATGTCATATCAATGGGCCTGTTTGTTGAATGTTGTCTAAATTAAAAACTAAATTTTATTTTTTTTCTACTCAGAGTAGATATTCTACCATGATCAGTTTTGAAATTCTCTGGTGTGGACCCTCTGTTCTAGTGGATGGCATTAGGCTTCTGGCCTATTAAAATGGGTAGCGTTCCTCCTATCTAGGGTCTTCCTAACAGTCAGGTTGCTCAAGATGAGTGGTGGACAGTATCATGTCAAGTACAGCCTAACACTTTCTCATATGCTAAACTGACCTTATGACAAACTCCAGAATGTAAAATTGGTAAAAATGGCAAACTTGGATGGAAAAGTTTTTTTTTTTAGCTTTGAATCAATTAGTGGAGAAAAAAAAGTTCTTGTCATTTTTTGAGCTGTGTGTCATATGTGACATGCTGATGGAGGCTGGTTACAATACTTAGAATTGCAACAATTGCTAGAATTGAATTTTGGTTCTGCAGTTTTGTTTTGGGTTTTTTTTTACGACTTCATAGTTTTCTTAATTATTGGAAATATTTACTGAGGTTGGTCAGTATGTTTACCCAGGAGCCTGCTTTATACATTTTTAATATCAATATTAAACATTGTGTCTAATGCAAGAATAGAATAAAGAATTAGAAGGTTCTCGTCAGTTCAAGCAATGGATCGCTTATTTTAGAGTCTGTATCTGATGTTTCAGTGGATCTTGTGTTTCATCTTTATTGTTTATTTATCAATGACCATTTGTATCTTTGCTTTGAGTCAACAGATCACCCTTTGACAGCAGCTACATCAAACAAATAAGCCGCAGCAGCTTCTTCTCTGCGTCACTGGCCAGGGTTGGTAACTGCTGCACTAAGAGAGGACATTTCATTGTTTAAGCAAAGACTCCCTTTTTCAAAAATGGGTAACTGGGCATCTACACAGTTCCTCGAATCTGACTGAATTAAAAAAGGGCATATTTGGATTGCAAAAAAGTAAAGACAAAAGGAGTGGACATTCCTTCCAATGTGCCTGTTT